TTGGTATCCCATTTAACTTTTTCATGCTGGGACACTGGGGGAATTGAGAATCTGGAAAATGAGTGGATTATATATGGAATAATCTCCTTCCTCCCTTCTTTCCCCCTTTTTCCCCAGCTAAGGATGGTGTCGCCCTCACTGAGAACCCTGATGGTTCGTGACCACATAGGGCTCTCAAGCTCTTTCCCTTATTCGGGATCCGGGAGTGGGACTGCGTCAAGGATGCAGATGGATGCAGAGGTTCGCAGGAGGGCAGGGCCTCTCTTCTTCTGATGCTCTTGCTGTGGCCCAGGGCTGTTAGTCCTCGAGGTCATGGGGGCCAGGGGGCCCACCTGCAGGTGCAGCCACCAGATGGATACAGGAAGTAGGCGTGTGGGCAACACCAGCCTCGATGTGAAAGGCCAGGATGTCTTTCAGGATGCCCCAGATGCCTGCTTTACCACTTTTGGATGCCACTGTGTTTGAGAGCTTTCTGCAGATGGCAGTCAGAGCCAGACAGACACATTGAGGGAGACGGAGAACCAGGCCAGCAAGCTTCCCAGGCAGTCAGGAATGATCTTGCCCATAGCTTTGGCAGCACCGCTGGATGCGGGCGTGATGCTCTGGATGGCAGCAGGGCCATGGTACCACAGCTTGCCCACAGGGGTAAAGAAGGTGTGGACTGTGGTCATGAGTGCCTCCACGATGCCAAAGCATTACAGACCCCGGCAGTGGGTGTGGGGGGGGAGGGGCACGCATGCTGGCAATCTAGGGGGAATGGTCACACTGCTCATGGTCACCCCATTAAGAAACATGGGGCCATCGGTACAACAGGCAGATGACCCTTTGACTCTGCTCGTCAGGTGAGCTCCAAGCATCTTCAGGGTGATGGAGACGCCATATTCAACAGCAGCAGCAGCAGCTCCTTTCATATTTGTGAGATCTGCTGCCTGGTAGATGGAAATGGANCCATCGGTACAACAGGCAGATGACCCTTTGACTCTGCTCGTCAGGTGAGCTCCAAGCATCTTCAGGGTGATGGAGACGCCATATTCAACAGCAGCAGCAGCAGCTCCTTTCATATTTGTGGGATCTGCTGCCTGGTAGATGGAAATGGACTTCCAAATGATCTCAGATTCCTGTTCTTAACCTTGTCAGTGTCACTGAACTTGCCATGATGGACGAGGTTGAGGTCCAGGGAGGGGTCACTGATGGTGACTTATATCCACGTTGCCA